AAAATACAGCAAAAGCAGTAATATTTTTAAATGTTTACTATTTAAAAGAACTGCTTTCCGTTTGAATATATTTTCAAATGTAATTTATTCCTGTGATTTCAAAGCTGAAGTGAACTCCAGTCACATGATCCTTCAGAAATCATTCATATCTTATGATTTGCTGCTCAGAAAAACATGTATCATCATTGTTGAAAACAGCCGAGTAGGCCTGTAATTCCTTCAGGTTTCTTTGATGAATAGAAAGTTCAGAAGAACAGCTTTTATCTCAAATATAGCTACATTTTTGTAACCTGTGTAAATGTCTTTATCATAACTTTTGATCAATTTAAATGCATCCTTGATAAATAAAAGTATTAATTTCTGTGATTTCGTAATAAATATATAACGGTTTAAATGTACTGACTCCAAGCGTTTGAATGGAATGGTGTATAATGTTACTAAAGCTTTTTATTTCAGATAAATGCTGATCTTTCTATTAATCAAAAAATCCTGAAAAAAAAAAAATGACTCGACTGTTTTAAATATTGATGATAATAAATAAATACAATTCTTGAACAGCATATCAGAATGATTTCTGAAGGATCATGTGACACTGAAGACTGGAGTAATGGTGCTGAATATTTAGCATTGTCAAATTACATTTTGAAAGAGGCCGATATTCAAATAGAAAGCAGTTATATTAAATTAGGGATGCACGATATATCGGCCACTATATTGGTATCGGGCCATATCGGCTCATTTTTTTCTGTTATCGGTATCGGCCTGATAAGAAAATTTGGCCGATATCTTAAAGCCGATAAATAATGCATTATTTCCTTCAGAGACACTTCAGATGCGCGCTGTTCGTTTGCAGCCTTTTGTGCAATTGTACGTTGTAATATTGTGTTTATTTGATGTATATCTGATTTATCTCATATAGAATGCGTTTGGTTAAGTTAAAAGAGCGCTTCAGTTTACCGGTGATCATCGGCTTTCAAAAATAAAGAGTAATCGGTTATCGGTATCGGCCAAAATTTTCATATCGGTGCATCCCTATATTAAATGGTAAAAATGTTTCACAATATTACTGCTTTCACTGTATTTTGGATCAAAAAATGCAGGCTTGGTGAGCAAAAGAGAATTATATAAAAACATTACAAATCTTACTGTCCAAAAACTTTTGACTGGTAGTGTACTTTTTTGGTTTGTATTATTCCATGTATGAGTTAGTTATGTACCCATTTTCCTTAACAGAGGTACAGCCCATCTCCTCCTCGTGGTGGGCTCCCTGTTGATCACAGTCTGGTCATAACTGTGGGCAACGAGCTGACCCATCCAAGCGAAGCGCCCCATGTCCGGTAAGAGATGCAGTCTAGTGAAGATGGGAATACCCCGTGACATTGTAAAACATGAACAGAATTACAGTGTCAGTGCTGAAATGGTTGAGTAAAACTGTGCATCAAATCACTACCAGATTTTCAGCTCATTCTGAACACACCAAACATAGTTACATGCGTCTTGTTCCTTGGAGATGCATGATAAATGAAAATATGTTCTGAAATAGTTTTAAAATATCATGTTTGTTATCCTCCAAATGGATGGAATCATTGTCTTAAGGTAAAAAAAAAAGAGTTTATGTCCATTATGTGTTTTTTGTGTGAAATCTGTCGACTCTGACTGGCCAAAATCTGTAGACTGCAAGTCAGGCCCACGTAAAAAAATACAAATCTAGCCGAAATTTGTGTATTCCAGCTTTTATAAAGCCATTGTGAGAATGAGGCTGATGGTGGAAAGTGTGACCACTCTGTTGATTAATAAAAGTCTTATTTTTTTCTGTCGCAAAATACTTTGTAATGAATTATCATTAGCAATTACATTTTGCCTCCTATTAGATTTATGTTGGGTATCAGCGCCCTACTCTCAAGGTATTGGGGTCACCATCGGGATTCAGTGGATAGAAATGCCCAAGATTTGAGGGTCTAAAACATTGTTTTTTAAATAAAAGTTTAATCCTAACAAACTTATTTGAGAAACAGCTAGACCTGCCTATCTTTTGATGCCTGCCTCCAAACAGTGAACATATTCTTAAGAGTAGTTCTTGCTCAAACTTGCATTTTTCCTCTACATCCTATTCAAAACCAGTAGATTGGCAGCATTCTCTGTTGGAGCGTAAGACACCTTTAGGGATGTGTTTTTTTTTTTTTACATAGCTTCAAGTGCTGTGGTTTTAAATGATCAAGTGTAGTTATGGAGAGATTTTAACTTGAGCCCATTGACTCACTAGATATGCAATTGTTTGTCCTTGTCCTTCAGTTGCGCTTTATGATGTGATGATTTCTGTTGACAGAGATTATGCAGCTGGGGAGTCACAGCATAATAAGCCCTATTACTCTCCACGGAAGTCGAGCTATGATGGACACAGCGATAGAGGTTCGAGGAGGCGCAGTGTTAGTCGCGGCAGGGCGCAGAGTCGCAGTCCTGGCTATGGGCGCAGCAAAAGTCGCCCGCGCAGCAGGAGTCGGAGCTACAGTCGTGGCAAGAGTCCTGAACGGGCGAAGAGCCGAGCACGTAGCAAGAGCAGAACCCGTGGGAGGAGCTACAGTAGAAGTCGAAGCGGAAGCCGCAGTCGCAGACAGAGTAGGGCCAGGAGCAGGGCACGGAGCAAGAGCCGGCCACGGAGCCGCAGTCGTGAAAGGAGCCGTAGCAGGGGGAGAAGCAGAGGACGGAGTCGTGCTAGGAGCTGGAGCCGCAGCGCCAGTCGTAGTGGTAGCAGTAGCAGCAGCGGCTCCAATAGGAGTCGCCGCAGCTGCGTCAACAGGAGAGTCAAATCAGGTGATTTTATGGTTAGGGAGGAGGACTTTACTGAGCTGGAGAAGGCCAGACGACGTAAAGAAATCCAGGATACGCTTGTACAGCCTGCAAAGTCAATTTTGAAGAAAAGAATGGATTCCTCCGAGACAGATTCTCCCATGCTAGCGCAGGTAACCATCTCTCATTATGGCTTGGGAAATTTTAACATTCAAAATGCTAGTCAAAAGCTGTTAATATTTATTCTTCACTTTATGTATGGCACTCTCAACTTAAGACACTTAAAGGGGTCATCGAATGTTGATAGGATTATTTAGGGTGAAAGTCTATAACATACTTTGGTTAAAATTGATCAATGGTCGTGTAAAACAACCCCCTTTTTACCCTGTCAAAAACAGCTCTGTTCACAGCAACCCGTTTCGGTGCATGTCCCTTTAAAGGGGTCATATGATGTTGCTAAAAATAACATTAGTTTGTGTATTTGGTGTAATGAAATGTGTTTATGCGGTTTAAAGTAAAAAAAAACAAATTTTCCACATACTGTACATTATTGTTTCTCCTCTATGCCCCACCTTTCTGAAGCGCTGGGGATTTTTACAAAGCTCATCGGTCTGAAAAAGCGAGGTGTGCTCTGATTGGCCAGCTATCCAGTGCGTTGTGATTGGCCGAATACCTCAAGCGTGAGATGGAAATGTTACGCCCCTACCATACTGTGATGCCGTGTCCCGGCCGGAGCGACGAGACAAAAACATAAAAACCCATTATAAACGAGGCATTTGTTGCATCCAGTGGGGACATAATTATGGATTATAATGACTTATACTGTCTTTTTACGCGTTGCGTTGCATCGCGCCGCGCCGCGTAAACATAAAACCATGTCTGCATTTGTGATCGGAGAAATTACAAACTACAAGTGCTACTCTACACTGCCCAAAACTCGTGTTTGAATCATCAGTGGCAGAGGACAGAGGAGCCTCTTAAAGAAGTTACAGGTCTGTGAGAGCCAGAACTGTACTGTCAATAGATGGTTTATATACATTAGATACCCACTATTCGCCACTTACTCTATATGTAATAAAATCAGAATAATATTGCGTTTTGGTGTTTACATAGTTTAAAAAATTTATTTAAATGCATTCATGTCCTGCATTAAAATGTGTGTAAATACATCTAAATGCCACTTCAGGTGCAGCTTATGTCTGGATTGCAAAGATGAATTTTGTTTATACTGATTTCATTTGCTTGGTAACAGCCCAAATGTGTTATTCTTATTCACTGATTGAATGTAAGAATTTGACTCAAAAGATAATGCAAAAAAAATTTATTTAAATGCATTCATGTCCTGCATTAAACTGTGTGTAAATACATCTAAATGCCACTTCAGGTGCAGCTTATGTCTGGATTGCAAAGATGAATTTTGTTTATACTGATTTCATTTGCTTGTTAACAGCCCAAATGTCTTATTATTCTAATTCACTGATTAACTCACTAATTACTAATTAACACTAATTAATTCACTAAATGTAAGAATTTGACTCAAAAGATAATACACACTTATAGAAAAATGGCTTTATAAAGGTAAAATGCCCATAAAAGGTAAAAATCTATTTAAACTTGTTGAAATTAATTTAATTCATTTCTAACTGACCACCACACAGAATATGAAGAATATCAAAAACTTTAGGAGTCAGCTGTCCACGAAAGTCCTTAAGATACCAGCATGATAACACACTCAATCAGCTGAATGAATGACTCACTCATCAAGTGACTTACTGTCACTTACTGGTAGTTTAGTTGAGAAGTTTGTTGAAAAGTATGCATTTT